TTTGCTATTTTATAAAGCATGAACTATGAACGTGTAGTTTAGTATCAAGCAAACAATAATAACCAACAATAAACAAGTTCAATCAAACAACAACAACAAACAAGTTCAACTAAACAACAACAACAAACAAGTTCAACAAAAAAAAAACAACAAACAAGTTCAACAAATAAGTTCTTCAAAACGAAAACGAAAATTAACCTTTAAAAGGTGGGTTTGTCGGAATAAAGTTTCGTCNAAATTAACCTTTAAAAGGTGGGTTTGTCGGAATAAAGTTTCGTCACAGTGAGAGAGAAAGCAGAATGCGTCTACGAAGGACAAGACCACGAAAATAATCAGTTAAAATAAAAAAAATCATACATCAAGTAATTAATTAACATGCATTTGTATCAAATGAAAGAAAGATTACATGTAATGCGCATCAAACTTCGTTTGAGAAAAGTTTGAGAAGAGAAGAGGGTTTTCGCGCGCTAAGACAAAGTGAATGAATTTTCAATCTCCCGCTCAAATTTTTATTTAATTCACTAACCTTTTGTCATCGAATTTAAATTTCATTCGACGTTTTATATCCTTTTACGAATTACAATTCTAAACGACGTTTAATAATTGCATTTATTTACAAAAATGACACCACTCATTTTTAACGTTGGTTATTCAGTGGTTGGACGTTGAACGCGTGACTTTATACGCTATTTTTGTACTAGTGAATGGTCGTCTCCAATCAAGAAATCATAATATTATGTAATAATATTAAGTAAATATTGTCATTTTTAACGTGTATTATGTCACATATCAAATATGACCATGGAACCATTTAGAAGGAATTAATGCAAAATATACCTTTTATAACAATATTTATATCGATTATAATTCATCAAATATAAAAAGTGGTACGATAACATAGTTATAATTAAGATAACACTTTTTATACATGTTGCAGTTATAATATGTATAAAACGTGGATGTGGTTGTTTTTTTGTAATGTGAACGTGGGAGAGACAAAAATATAGATTGTATTGGACTGTGTCACGCACTTACCAATGGATATACCGACAGACAAGTCCTTCGGTAATTACTGACAAATATTGGACGTTGGTGATTACCGTTGGACTTACTCGTCAGTAATTACTGAAGGATGTGTTCACCGTTAATTACCGACAATCAATATTTGTTGATAATGATTATCGACAGTGAAATTACTGACAAACTTTTGGCTGTCGGTAAACCTCAGAAAATGTCAATTACCTATTGTTTCTGCTGGAATGGGACGAGAAAAACTCCTGCTGCTTCCGCTCGGGAATGCTCCACCTCCGCCGATCGGTCCTCCTTGCTCCGGTCTTACCGCCTGGATCTTCCTCTCTCAATGCCAAAATGGGGGTGGCATGAAGGAAACACTCCGACGCTCAAGTTAGAATTTATCTCCGCAAGTCTAGTCAAAATCAGAAATTAGAGAGTTTACCTTCTTAATCAATTGTTATTTATAGGGTTTCAAGGAATATCATCCATTAATTTACCTCTTAATGACGATCAATGTCAACCTTAACTTCTCCACAGTGACCGTTACATCATTAATTATGCATTCATTGACATTCAAAGGTTGTCTCCGATAAACGGTTGGAGAGTTCACGAGTATTATCCTAGCATCAGACCGGTAATGATCGGCTTCCATTGCCCCTGCGTACCTGGTCGGTCTAATTAACACTTTCATCGTCCTTGGCGGGTCGGTCTAACCTACTCGGTAGTGACTCAAGCATGTTCGGTCAGTCTAACATATTCGGTAATAACACCTATGTCTGTCAATAATTTCGATTTTTTTTGTAGTGGTCGGCGAGCTTGCAACCATGGATCTACACATTCTCACGAGAGGCTTGCTCCTTCCCGTTCTCAAATGTCATTTGCCATTACTCATTAGAGAAGGCTAAAGACATCATACTCTTTGAACTCTCTCATTGAAAATCACTATCATCAATAATTTCATTCCATAACGTTATGGAAGTTGCTTGTACAACATTGCGTTTTTAGCACGAATGGAAAGTTGTTTGTCAATCATCTTACTCAAGGCTATCGCTTCCTCTGCCACCATTGCATAGAGTAAAATATGAAGAAAAATAATTATATATCGATTTTACCTTTAATTAGTGTAAAAAAAAATGAAATCTTCTATATCAATTTTAAAAATGATGTAAAAAATTCTTTTTGACTAATATAAAAATATTTTTCTAGTGGCACGAAATATACGGATTATATTAAAGCTTTCATATATTTTTTTATACTACACCTAAGGATTAATAATCATAGCATCTGGTAATATGTCATGTCAGTTTTTCTGTTAGGATAGAGTATAAACTGTGTATAATAGTCCATGTGAATTCTCTCATTGATGTGATTTTGAATGACACAAATTCAGTGTTTGCAATAAAAGAGCCTTCTAAACTTGAATATCCGGAGAGATATATCCTGAGGAAAGAGAGTGAACAAGGTATGTTTGTTAGTTGTTTGATGATGAATACGAACTAACATTTAATCATTATAACCACATATTATCTACTCATCTAAATGTTTTAATTAGATGGTTGGCTAAAGATTTTTTGGTGCTTAAATAATAATGACAAAGAAAAGATAAAACCAGCTCTCACCATACTTGAGATGTTCAAAAGTTAAATGTTAGTAAATCCTTGAAAAAATATTAGTTGTAAATTGCTTTCTATTTGGATACCTTATTCTAAAAGATGTGGTTCTTTTCGTAGGAGAGAGTGCTATCATTGTTTGTTTTGAGTGAGAGACTTCAATTTATACAATCATTGGAGAGAGTTATTTTACATCTTACAATCTTTTTTATTCTCACATATATATTTGTCAACGTGTTTGCATGAATATGAACATTTAAAATATTGAATCATGTTGCTATTTTCTTAAAGGTGGTTCTATCTTCTTTGTAGTTTGTGATACTCTTTTTCTATCGAATAAAATAACTATTAATGTTCATCTTCCTTTACCACTATTTTATTAACTTTAGAGAGAGAGACCAAGTTTATAAAGAATTTATTATTTGAAATATTTTTTTTTATGAAATCTTATGCATTTTTATATCATCGAATGTAAAATCAGATAAAACTATTGTTCAGGATAAAAAGCTCTTTTTGTAATTATTTAAGAGTTATACATCCTTTAAAAAAAACAGCTACATATCTAATATTGAAATTCTCCTACGGTTTTTAACCTAATTAACGAAATAAAATATTACTTATTAATCTATTCATCATTCAATTTCTTCTTCGAATAATAAAGTAAAAACTTAGTTCGAAATGATATGATAAAGAGATTTATGATATGTATAGAAAGATATAATTTTAATAAGATTCATAATTAATATTATTTCTAACCCAAAACATTAAAATAATGAATTTAAGAGTATTTTTTCTTACATATTTCTTAACGTTCTTATTTTAACTTAATATGAAGCTTAGTTACACACTTAAATTTTCAATAATCTCTCCATCAAGTATGAGTCTGTACACATCAATATATTCCCTCAAATAGAAACATTTTTAATCGTAAGTACTTCACTAACGACTCTTACTTATACCACCATTCATCATATAACATAACACATTTGCTTGAACTTTTGATTTATTAGGCTCTTCGCTATATGTTGTTTATTTTTCTCTTGTTATAATAAAAATGACTATGCAGTAACGATATATATGAGAGTAGTGTCAACAATAATGATGGTAAAAGTGAAAACAATGATGAGGTGATGGCCGTAACTATATCTGAAGACAATGATTATCGTCATAATAATTAAGCTTAGTTTGTAATTTAATTCATATATTTACACGTATAATTAATTGTTTATCTATACTTTTTTTACACAATTAAGTACTTATATATTTTAAATAGAGTTATTGTGATGCTTTCCAGAAAAGGTGAATGGTAGGGTTGTATCACCAAAGAACAAGAGATCCTCAGAGAAAGAAGTTTGAACTTATACGTTGTTACCTAAACATATAATAATAGAAAAAGAGTAAGAATTCTAATTAAACCTAATAACTATAATAATAGAAAAAGAGTAAGAGAGTGATTGATTGTCCTTTCATTCCCTTTTCTTCCCTTATCTCTTTAAATTAAGGTTAAAATTTTAGAACATGAAATTTAAATATCAACATATTATTCTAGTAAAATATTTACTTTATTTTTTCAAAACGTGAAATATTAAATTTAATTTAAAATAAATAAATGGTAGTTATTCTAAAATCAAATTGGATTCGCTTTTCTTAAGGGCAATGATACGCATACACATTAGTTTTGTTTAGATCTATTGCACACTTTGTTTACACCTATTGATGCACCTTTTCAGTGTCCATTAATATTTTGTTTTTAAACATGGGATTCCTTCAACACAAGTATAACGAAAACAAGAAAAAATTGAGCAGTGGTTATGACAAAGGGAACAAAAGACCATGGATAAAAAAAAGGATGAAAATTGTCAACTTTCCTTTGAAGAGAACGATTCTTCTGTTTAAGGAAGACTGTTTGCACCACTCCTTGGTGTTATAATACCAAAACCCTTCCTTATGTTACTAACCAACATTTGTTTTATAGCGGCTCTTGTATAAATTTTAAATAATTTTAAACCTGGATTATTCCATGAATATATTCTAAATCTTGTTTTTCAAAAGAGTGTCTCTTGCGAGAAAAAAGTAGAAAGGAAACAAAAGACATAAAAAATATTGTTGAATGTTGTGCCTATAGGGTGAGACAGCTCAATAACTTGACAAAGAAGAAGCTTAAGCAAATTTGGCATTTTCCCCCCAAAAACAATTAAGAGTTCGCTAGAATACAAATGGTTAGCAGATACATTCACCTATCTCATTCAATCATCAAAATGAAGGAGTCCACCCTGTACATGATTAGACAGAGGTCCATTTTACAGATGCAATATTCATTAAATAACCGTGCTAAAAAAATAGAACCAGACAGAAAATTCAGCAAGACAGATTAAGTATTAGGACATCAAAGATGGCATTCGTAGGCAAGTTAAACATTGTAAGACATGAGGGATACAAGGTATAACTATGAGTGTAGCAGCAAGCAATACAAGGGTGAAAATCAAATGGTAATAGGTAGCACCTCAATTTCCTTTATTATGTCTATCTAGTATGGACATAGGGGAAACAAAAATAAAAATATAGAACAGGACACATCATATGTATATACAGGCATCACATGATTACTGTGGCAGTGCTGCTCATACCGGAGAAAAGGATACTAGTACAGATAAAGGATGCTCATCAAGCTAAAAAGTTAATCATCCTTGTAATCTTTGCAAGGTTTAGTTTCAAAACCACCACCTTCCCTCTCCTCCAATGTGTATGGCATGTAGGTACCCAAGATTCTGTCCCACATGATGAAGAATGGCTGTGAGAAGTTGTACTTGTTTCCATAGAGTTGATGGTGTACATCATGATAGGCCGAGTTGTTTTTGAAAAATATATGGAAAAGGTTTCCGGGGAGCAATAACCCACAGTGATCATCAACAGTTTTAATGGTGGCAAACGAGAAGAAGAAAATGGAGGCTCGAGGACTCATCCCGGAGACTAAGAACGATAAAGCACCACCAACAGTGTCATTCAGAAGCCCCTCCACAGGGTGATTGTATAGAGCTCCATATGAATAGGGTACAATGAGTCTGTGATGCAGAGAGTGGATATGTTTGTATAGGAACTTGTTGTGATGCATGTATCTGTGCATGAAGTATTGCCATGCGTCCATTACAAGCATAGCAGTAACAAATTGTCTTGCTAAAACAAGTAGAGAAGTATTCTGGCTGGTCGTATTTTGGTTATCACTTCCTGTCAGCTACACAATTAACAAAAATCAATTACAATTTTGTTATCCAGAACCAATCACATGTCCTATATTATACACAAAAGCTACAATTGGATCAATAAATTACGTGATAAAATTTCACAGAACAGAACACTCCATAAACTGGTAATTTTTCTGTCTAAGAGAATTTATTGTAGTATCAAAGAATATTTTAGGGATGAGACCACAAGAAGCAATACTACTAAAGATAAACCTAATATGAACAACAAAATTTCTCCTCAAAGTGTTTAATGCATACATGCCCCAGAGCTCGGACAACCATGCAATAAGCAAACAGTTTCATTAAAGCTGGATTATTTTGTTTAATGTGTTTCTTTACTCAAGAAAGATTAAGGTTAGCAGGGGCAGAGGGAGTAGGGAATACTTTAACTTTCTTTCATAATACTGAATACAATTATATATCTCTTCTGCTTATAAAATTATCGGATGTGATTGGACAACTGTGAAAATTTAATAATTTCATTAATCAATTATAATAAAAAATCAGTTTCCGTAGGGTAAGTTTGCTAAAAGGGTAGTTCTAAAATAATTAATTTTGTTTAAATGTAAAGAAAAAAAAAACTTCAGTTTTACATAAGAGTGTGTTTCAAGCTAAAAGGGAAAAGGCTGTTAGAAAATAATCATAAGCTACAAATTTTCAGATCATGAAAATAATTTATTTTTCAGAGAAAAAAAAGTTATTAAATGTCAACTAATGTTCCAAATATTACGATTTTTTAAGAATTTATTTTATATCTTTATAAAGAACTTATTATGCTGTCATAAGCTTTTTCAAACATGTTATTTATGCTGTAAAAATACGACACAATTACATTCCCTTATTTCCTCATTTAATACAACTATAAATGATTTCATTATAAACTTAACAAATGATAAATATTTTATAATTTATGACCAATCAAATAGATTCTAATCATTCATCGAATAATGACTCTAAGTATTCATGATTAAATGAAACGAATTTTGTTTTCCTTCCACCAAACAACTATTAGGCCTTAACCCTGTTTTAGTCTCTCTTCTACTTTTCACTGGACTAAAAATAATGCAATCTAATTCGATCTACCTTAACCGATTTTCTAAATCTTTTGCTCAATCGGGGCAAAACCAACACCATCCACCCCTCAAAGAAACTTTTTTCTCTGGAGCTCAGCACACGTTATCTTTTTTGAAGGTAAGAAACTCGTTTTGGGCTAATAGCATATTTACTACCATTAAGAAAAGGCTCCAAGAATAACCCATTAAAGTAACTATAGCCACAAACTATCCCTTATGAAGTAGCCTATGATAAACACACAGGTCAAACAACAATTCAACCACACACGCAATAAATGTTCAACCTCTAATGGAGAATAGAGTACTAAACTCACATATGCCAAATAGCAATCAAACCTTATCATAATCAATAATAGAAAAAAACAATATCATTATTGCACACCATACTAGATCAAGCACACAAAATCTTTGTAAAGGAGTGTTACTAGTGAAGTAATAAACACAACCAACCAAAAAGGAACGAAAACAGTTTGTCTTGTGCATAGCGTCTAGCATTACCCAAAAGGCATAAAGGAGCCAAAACATAAACGTGTTGAGCAATTAAACGTCTTAAAAGCCGTTTCGGCAATGCAAGATTGACTTCATTAATGCATCTTCTCGTAGAAAAATCATTTACAAAAAGAAAGAAACTGCAAACTTATCACACCTCGAAAAACTTACCGCAAACAAGAGGGTTGCAACCACGGCCTGAACTAGTTGTTGAAGAAGAACACCTTTAACCACAGCACCCTTTGACACCAAATTTTTTTCGTCCTCTTCCTGCTTCGAATGTAACCGATAACTTTCAGCAAACGACCCCAAAACAACGTAAATCCCAGAATAAATCCAGTAAACTACTATAGGCACAAAAGTGCCTAACATCTCATCAGAAACCCCCAAATCCATTCCACGACCCCAGAGGAAGGAAAAAAAAAACAATACTTTCCGCGGATTTGATTTAACAATCACCCACCAGACCCAAAATTTGCATCAATATCAGAGAATCAAGAAATGACAAGATCGGCACAAGACAAAGAACCCTAATTAAAAACCGTAAAAGTGAACCCCTCACTCCTCTTGTTCCTCCAACCCGAAATGATTGATTGGTCAAGCCGGCAACCCCAATTATAAAAACGACCCAATTAAATAATGGGTAGGTACATAACAGAGTTAGGGTTCCGCGCAGAAGGAAGATTCCAAAGAGAGAGAGAAGAGAAAGAAATGTCGAAAATGCTTGCAGGGTGGTGACTCTTCACGCTCTGGGAAAGAAAATATCGTGCGATCTTGTGCGTGGGGGCGTATTCGGTTACGGTGGTTACCTCCACGTGTAGAAAAAGCAGTGGAATTTGTTAGTGGAAACTGTTTTTTAATTGGTTAGATTAGGGAATTTGTGTGGGTGCGAATGCAGACGATTAGAAACGTGGGCTTTATGGGATTATCGAAACGACGCCGAGTTTGACCGGTTAAGGTGGGGAACCTGTTTTGAATGTGTGGCCGTTTGAGTTGACAGAGGGTCAGTCAGTTATGCACGACAAACAGACTAAGGACAGTCAGAATTCCGAACGGACGCTGTTCCGTTTTTAATTTTGAGTGTAAAATTTTTTAACTAAAAAACACTCTACTTCCAAATTAAGAAAATGCTTTAATTTTTTAGACGTAGAAAATAATAATTTCTATATATACTATAATTATATAGTTTCTATAAATACACATTCTACCGTGACTATGTAAATATATGATTTCGATAAATATGTATAATTCTGTAGTTATTGTGTATGCTTAAATCATTAAACCTTATATTTTAATCTGCATATTTAATATCTGCTCTAATATCCTTGTTTAGTGTACACGTTATATTTCTCAAGGGTCAACGTATTTTTTTTTTCTTAAAATCTGCAAGATCAATTACAACTCTAATAAATATAAATACAAAAATTTGAAACATAATATTCAGCAATAATAAGTATTTATAAAAATGTATTCTTCAATTGAATACAAAATGAAATAGTATTTCTCTAAATGGATTTTTTAGGGTAATAATAATTGAGAATTTGTCTTCCTCAACTAATTCTTTTTAATCTTCATTTCGAAAATCCTTCTAAATTTGGTTTTAAAGGATGGAATTCGGAAAATATCTTTTGGTTTTTTTAATTTAAAAAAGGAGAGAAAAATTAAAAATACTAGAAATTATAATTAAAAATATAGGAAACAAATTTAAAATAGTTAATTAAAAACATTGAAATTTAATTTTAATTTTTTTTGAAAGAATAAAAATTAAAAATAATTTAAAGATTAATAAATTTTTATTTTGTAAATATTTTAAAGGATTTTAAAAATTGTAATAAAACATAAAAAAATTTAAATATAAATGTAATTTAAAAAATTATATTAAGAATTAAAAATATTATATCAAAGAGTAGTTTAAAATAACTGGTTAAAAACATTGAGATTAGATTTTAATAGACTTCAAAAAAAACTTGAAGGGTAAAATAATTTTGATTTCGTGATACTGATTTTGTAATATAATCAATAATAAACTTTGTTACTATTATAATAGCAGTAAATAAATGGAATCAAAGGTAGAGAAAAATATATAATCTTCAAACTTTTCTTCTCTTATTAATATTATTATTATTATTACTATTGATTTTTTTTAAAGTAATTTAAAAAATATAATTAAAAACATAAAATAAATTAAAATATAATTGTATTAAATTTATATTAACGAAAAAATTCAAACACTTATAAGCATTTCCTATGTAAACTCATTTTAATAATTTTAATTTCAATTTTAAAATCTTTAATTTAAACAGAATTATTATTAATCATTTTCAACATTTTATCACCCAATTTATAATATAAAATATATGTTTTAATCGTCTTACATTTGAAATAATCTTAACTTTTCTATGTATTATTAAACATATTTAAAAATTATTTGAATTTTTTTAATATCCAAACATTTTATTATCATCATACACATAAAAATAATATTTTTTCATTAATAAACAATTTTAAACCACCCAAAATAATATATATTTTATTTAAATCATTGTATTTATTTTTTAATTTAAAAGTCTAAAATTAAACTTATAGTTTTTATTATAATTTTTTTATTTTAAAAAACCGATAATTCTAAATTATATTACAAAACTAAAATTTATTCACTTTAAAGTTATTTTTATTCTTGTTTATTCTCTTAAAATAATTAAAACTTAAACTATGATGATGGTTACCATTAATTACATGCCAAGGGTGTTAGTTAGTTGTAATTACAATAAATATATATATATATATATATATATATATATATGGATTTGTTAATCGTAATCTAAGTTCTTAATTCTAAAATTTAAAAACGAAATTTAATAATAATCAGAAGGAAAATATATAACACAGATCTTCAATCAAAAATTAACATCAATATCATCAATTATTTTGTTATTAAACTGAAAAACAAATGAACAAACAAAGCAAGAGTAACAAATTGCGGTGTCGCGGGTTGCTATGTGTGGATGAGGAAGAATATGTTGATGAGAGAAAAACCAAATTGGATAAGTGAGGAATGTAGATTAGGGTTAGGCGAGTATTTCTGATTTTTTTTTTTCAACTGAGACTAGCGTAAATGACAGAAATAAAAGAGATGAAAGAGAACGGATTGAGAGAAATGAGGGAGGTGAGCAAGGATTTGGAAAGTTTTTCCAGTAGTTGAATCATTCCATAAATAATTCTCATAACAAAATATTTAAACACTTTTAGTTTAGTGATTTAACATGCAGATTTTACATAATTCATTCTCGAGCTCAGATTTTTTATTGAATCTTTTTTATTATTTTTACTGAATTTTTAAAATATCAGTATATTAGAAAAATTAATATATTTTTAAAATAAAAATTTAGTATATCTATATATATTTTGAAGATTTAGACCATAAATTCAATAGAGAATTTAAGTTTATTCCCAAATCTATAACCTCTCACATGTTAAATAGTATTCAACTATTAATAAAAAGTAAATAACTCCAACAAATATAAAAATGTTATTAAAGTTATCTTGAATATATCAATAAAAGTTTTATACAAATCAGTAATATTATACCAAATAAAAAATATAATATTATTTTTCAAAAACTAGTATAGATAGGAATTAAACGGCCTAACTCAACCCTTCAACATTATTCCTATCTCGTACAGGATCTACCAAAATATTATTATCTGCTCACACTATTAAAGTAATAATTGCAAACAAAAAAAAATAAACAGACAAACAAAAAAGATGAAAGTGTAAGCTAATGTACTAAGAAGACAATCATACAACATTTATAGAGATATTAACACAAACAACATTCACATCAACCAATCCTAAGACATGAGACTCTGAGGAGTTATGCATTGGTGATCTTTACTACTCTAGAGAGTCATTATTAATGGGTTTTACCCTACCACATACAAGTTTAGTTTGTTCCTGTCTTTGGTCAAGGTAAAACTCCTATACTGAGACTTTTTACTCCTCTCACCACATACATCACCCTTTTCTACTTGAGATTGGATGGTTATTAAAGTGTCGAGATAAGTCCCAATACGAAATTCATACATCAATATATACACTATTGAAACCATTACAAAAAACTTCTCTTTGAAATTCTTTTCATAACATTCACCATACATATTCTCAACCATGTTATTAATCAATGAAACATCACAATCCATATTAAACATGCATAGAAATCATGGTGAAAACACCTTAAACAAAACAAAGGATCAGAAAATCACAAAAATACATATTGGCGCACATTGTAAGAACTCTCACAAAAAAGAGCACTCAACGACAGTCCTAATGCTCAATGTCAAACCTTTTGCAAAAGGCAGTGCTCAGCATCAGTCTTGACACTCAACGCCAATTTTCTTGCAAAACATCTTACTCAGCGACGTCATTTTGTCACTCAGTGACCTAGAATTAAAATGGTTTCAAGTGGCACTCAGTGGTGCCTTGCCACCACTTAACGCCAGACCATTCGCAAAAATGGTTGCTCACAGTGAGAAAGGGCGCTCAACGGTTTGGAGCAAAAATGCTTTCAGACTTGCATAATCAAGCTTACGCTCAAAGCCATACCAAAAAACAATAGATACAATCTTGTGATTTGGAAAACTAGGGACATGTTCATATTATCAAATTGATATTCATGACTTAGTGCTTAGTTCAAAAACAATTTTCAATGTCAAAATGCATACCATCTTGCTCAAATGATCAGATTCTAAGTTTCTCCACTTATCACCAATTCAATTACAAGAAACATAATCATGTAACACACAAATTTTCGACATGTTCAAACACCAATATCAGCAATTCAATCAATTTCACGCAACTTAAACATGCAAACTCATATTTTCAAAGCACCAAAAACTTAAAAACAAGATAATTAGTTTTCCTTACTTGGAGAATAACCGAACAGCTAGAAAACTCAAACATGACATACGACCTTGAATGTTTCACATGTAAAGGAAGACAAAACAGACCAAATAAAGGAGCATAATATTAACTTACTTTATCTAAAAAACTGATCGAATAAATATAAAGAATTCACCTCAAGAATTACTTTGTCGTCTCTAATATTCAAATAGACAAACAAATTGTGAGAAAACTTATAAAAAAAAGCTATAGAAAAAAGAGTTTTTAGAAAAATAATGTGATTTAAGATAATAAACTCATCTATAAAAATTATATTTATATTTTAAGATTTTAAGATTAAGATAAACAAATCTTATTATTTAAACCACATTACTAATTCTTAAAATAATTTTTTTTATTTGTACAATTAACATACTAACCGTTTGACGGTATTTTATTTTAGTTTTATTTTTAATACTAAAATAAAGGTATAAACTATATCTAACAAGGGTTCAAATATTGGGATGCCTAAAAGAGATTTAAAACAATACATATAAAAGTTAGAAGAGATCATTTCTAATTATATACACTGAAAATAAAGTTTGTTCCTGCCAAATTAGTAATTTTAACTTATTTTAATCTACAACATGAGAATGTAGAATTTTACCAAGAAGGTACATAATTATGCATGAAGAATAGAAAGGTCTTCTAAACATTATTATACTTAGAAGATATACTCTACCTTTAATATTTTTTTAATGACTAGTTGATACAAAAATTTTAAATATGAATTGAGAATTGTTTGTTTTACAAAACCGATGGCCATATATAGTATGATTTTTTTTGTTTTTCTATGGGCTAAGAAATAA